ATGGAAAAATAAACATCATTATATCAGTAACAGGGACTTGATAAAAGACTATGAAGAGGGGGGTTTAAAAGCAATCGATTTTGAAATAATGAATGGCATTTTAAAGATTCATTGGCTCCGATCTTTCTTAAAAAATGATGATGAGATCTGGTTCTTGATACCATCTCTTATTCTCAACAAAGTTGGGGGGATCCAATTCCTTTTAGTGTGTGATTTTGAAATTTCTAAACTGCCCATAAAACTTTCCAAATTTCATCAACAAGTTTTGTTAAATTGGAAATTAAGTTTAAACATAACTTTAGTCCCCACAACGTTCCACTGTGGAATAATAGGGTGATATTGAATCGGGGGAAATCTATCTACAAATTTGGTCTGTGGCACATATAATGGATGAAAATGGAGATATACTTGAATTAAACAGGCTTAATGAGAAATATGACATGAGTTGCTCGCTCGAGCTCTATAAAAAGGTTTCACAGAATATCCCAATAGTCCTTGTAAATACGATAAAGAACAATTTCTCAAATATACCGACTCCAAATTTAAACTAGATGGTCTTGACTTGGTTAATGAAAAATGTAATAATCAGTTTTTGAGGAGGTATTTGGTTAACACCTTATATCCAGGTAGGACAAAACATTCACTCATCTTTAAAGATTATAACAAATCTGAGATCTCGTTGATCAGAACCAAATATTTAACATTTCCAATCCCCCCAAATTTGAAGAAGTCCATTTTAGAACTACAAAAAATATTTACCCCTCCAACGAATTTATGAGAGACAGATTTAAATGTGTGTTAGACAACTGTTATATTTGTAAAACAACAGAGCACATGTTCTATGGGTGTGTGACAGGATCTATGGGAATCTCTCCATGTCCTGATATTGTCCCAGTATGGAAATATTGATTTTTGGTCTTTTCAAAATACTCACATTGGAGTAATCCTTAAGGACAAAAGTAGTGAGTTTTTAGTTAACAAAGTATTACATTCATAAATGC